GCCCCGGGTGACAGAGTGTTTAGCATCCCCACTGCCTATGAATGATGAATCCAAAGGGTATTTTTACATTTTTTTATTCCTTTCTATTTAGTTTCAATTTTAGAAGTGCAAACAGAGTAATTGGGGCATTCTGCTGACTCAAGAAGTACAATGTGTCAAAAAAAGGTTTAACAAATCAACAGCAGTAAATCTGGTGGGTTGGTTACACTCAAATTTTCACATTTTACAACAAGAGAAAAATGTAGGATCCAGGAGTGGAGGATGTTTCAATGAATCATTGAGCAACTGCTCCATGTTATCTGCCTGTGACAGCCCTGTACGGTAATCCAAAACCTTGATCGGTCAACCCACCAAGGTTTTGCATAATGCTTCTCTAGTGGGTTAAGCAGGGTCAGGCAATCAAGGGGGTGTCCACAAGGGCAATGTAAAAAGGAAACGCACTCATAGTAAAGGTGACTTTGAGCTAAGCGAAGCATCCCATACCTTAGTTAATTTATGCAAGCAACCTCTGAATTCATATGTGGCCTTCTAGAGAGACACAGCTCTGTTTATTATGGACCTCTAAAAGTTCAATGAAGGGGCTACTGAGTTCTTACAGTAAATAAAGGGTAACATTTTAAAATTATATTCGCTCTTCAAAAATTATTTTACTCACGTTGTACAGGTTGTCTTTGGAGGCCGTTCTGTGAAAGAAACTTTGTGGTAAATTTTGTCCAGGTGGAGCGCGAATAAGAAACCTATGAGAACATCCCCAGGTATGGTCATCCCCTTGAGGTTTGGTGTATCCAGTTGGCACCTCAAGTCTGCTGAAGCATTGGAGTGAAAAGCCAGAATCAAGCATGGCAAGCCAAGGATCCAGGCTGGTGTACATAGACTCACCATCTTGCTTTTATCAACTCGGCACGTAGGTGTGAGCATACCAGAGTCTTGTTGTATAGTAAGTCTTCTTCAAGAATTTATTTTCTGACAATCATCAGGAAACATTACAATTAATTTTCAAAATGAAGTAATTCATTAGGCAATGCAAAGTACAATAGCTTTCTGCAAAGTGCAACAGCCTTTGGTAACTAATTCAATTGCGGCTTTCTTCTATTTGTAAGGATCCTAACTGGTTGCAATAGCTTGCTGAACTTAGCACAAAGCTCTTAGACTTGGCACCGCCCTGTTTCTTAACTATGCTCACATTTTTATTTTCATTGCGTGTTCTGTGGAGATAAGGTAGTGAATATGAGGCTGCAAATTAGGGATGCACAGATACTTTTCGAGTACCAGTGCAGATACTTGGCATTTTCATGAGAACTACCAGGGTTGCAGCGGTTGCAGCTGGGACCTAGCTCTGGCACTCCACCGCTGTCCTGAAATCATTAGTCTGTATTGTTTTAGAAAAACTGTCACATGACAATACACAAAAATTTATCAGTACTCGTACTTGTAAGTACTCGGCAAGTACCAGTACTCGTACTCGCAAAACTGGTATCTGTGCATCCCTTTATTTATATTTATAAAAACAAAATCGTACAATAAAACAGAGATGTACAAATCACTTGAGCTCCGTGTGCTCCTTACAAATGACAGCTGCCTCCTAATTTTTGAATTTTTCTCTAGTGTAGTCTTGGAGCTCAAAAGTATCGGTACATGTATTCGTACTTGTACCGAGTACTGTACTTGGTATCTGTGCAACCCTACTGCAAATCTAGCTGGATTGTGCAATACAAACTTGACAGAGATGAACAAGTAAACCTAAATTTCATATATGTAGAGTAGTTGTGGGTAAAAGTTGTCCAGAGAGCCCTGAAACAGCTTTACTGTCAATGTTCCTGGGCCCTATTGACAAGATAAAGCACGGCCTGCTGAGATTTATTTTCTCAGCGGGTTGCACTTTCATACCTAGGTTTTGGAAGACAACTGTGGTGCCCCAGGTTGAGGACTGGATAGCTGAAGTTGGATATATCATGTGGATGGAGGAAATCGTCGCTAGACGGGAGGACAAATACTCGATGTGTATGGGCACCTGGAGTGCCTGGATAGAATTGTTAGAGTCACCTAATATTAATATCAATATAGGCTCATCTAGATATAAATAAGACAACTAGGGGACATAGAGTTTTGAATGGAAAGCTCTGACCTGAATTGGTGCCGACACTGTCCTTTCTTCTGGAGGGGGCTACTTTTGTTCCCCATGGCCCAATGTGTGTTGTAAAGTAGATACAGGTCCAAGCTTACTCCTGTGATGGACTACAATCTCCTGTTTAGTTTACTAATTTGTATGGAGGTTGTAGTCCATCACTGGAGTGAGCTTGGAGCGGTGACTACTTTACAACACACAGGGACCATGGGGAACGAAAGTAGCCCCCCTCCAGAAGGAGGATAGTGTCGGCACCAATTCAGCGATGCTTTGAGGATTTACAACCGAGTGATACACAAATAAGATACATTGCTGTTAATAGTTAAGGTCCTTGAATGTGTTTTTTAGATTTAACTCCTGAGTTTAGTGTCACTTTAAGTATGGCCTGACTTTAATTTGGTTTCGTAAAGTGTTATGTGATTATCTGTTTATTAAAGTAATACAATTGATTAATCAGAAATAAATCTAAACCACTGGCTATGAGCTGGTATTACATATCTGTAAGGTTTTTGTTTATTTCTTTTTGTTAGTTATAATATCATAAAAACATATGTTGCCCACCCCTGTATGCTGTATGGCACTACATGGAATGTATGGATTGTTCTATATAAGACCACCTCAGATGGGTGCTTCCTTCCAAGTCAGTAATGGGGGAAAAGCTCAGCTGTAGGGAGACCATAGGCAATACTGGGGACAAGTCCTTTGCCCTCTGCATGTCTTTTTAGGGCACAGCTTCCAGCATTACTATAATAATTTTTCTGAATTGGAGGATGATCTCCTTACCTTTCATCTGCTGTGCTAAATGTATGCAGATAATTGTTTGCTACTTTTAGAAGATATCTGTCATTTCTTTTCTTGTCCTTGGAGGATGTTGAATAATTATCAAAACATAATGGATATTTTTTATTCTATATTTCTAATGCAAACGTAAAGTAAAAGTAAAAAGATTGTCTTCATCTATCGTTCCAGCAGTCATGGTTTTCAGAGACATTCACCTAATTGCTTCATAAATGATCACAATTACCTCCATCACAGTCTGTATGCTAGAAAAATAAATACATACATGCTTGTGAAAGTGAGACTAAAGATCAACAGATATCCAATGAAGCATGCAATTAGTAATTTTTTATAAAATTGCTCAGAAGAACGTGGCAGAGTAGGACAGAACAAGGCTCAGTGATGATAAGTCTTGTATGTGTCTTGTTGTCCTATTTTTAGAGGCCGTTGATTTTAATTTAAGTGCTTGCCTAGTAACCCGTTATCTTCTGTAATTTTTGCTCTACATGGCACGGCCTGCTCCTTATATTAAGGTTTAGCCAAAATTGCTTCTCCCTCTTGGAGAATAATTCTCCTGGTGCATCTGGGGCTAACATCTCCCTAGAGGACAACTATAATCTGTAATTGTGATACAAGGTTTCCTGGCTGCACGCTCTTATGCAATTTCAGATAAATAGATAGAAAAATAGATAGATAGATGATAGATAGATAGATAGATAGATAGATAGATAGATAGATAGATAGATGATAGATAGATAGATAGATAGATAGATAGATAGATAGATAGATAGATAGATAGATAGATTCTCTCAAGTGTTCTACCAGGTAAATTCTGAGTCTTTTGGAAATATATCGCTAAGTAGCGTAGTACATGATATATACTGTTATGGGGAGAAGACACTTCTGAGACAGCCCAAGAAACTATTGCTTACAAAAAGGAAAATGTTGGTGTTTTATCTTCATGTCCTTCTATCAGTTTATGTTGTGATCCCTATCTCAGCAGCACCATATTAAAGGATGTGGTTGAGTGTGGTGACTGGGTACATGAAACTGTCAGTGAAAGTACACATGAGATGAGAGGGGTCTGACATCCCTGAGGAAGATGAGAGTGGTATAACATCTTTGAGGAACCTGAGAGGGATCTGACATACCTGAGGAACCTGAGAGGGATCTGACATACCTGAGGAACCTGAGGGGGATCTGACATACCTGAGGAACCTGAGAGGGATCTGACATACCTGAGGAACCTGAGAGGGTTCTGATGCCCGAAGTTTGTTTGGGGAAAGAATTCCGCTAAGTAGAGTGCATTGTTGTGAAGAAACATTAGTCTGGGCCCTCCCTAGAAAGTTAAAAAGACTCTGTATACTGTGTGTGAATGTGTTCTTGGACCCGTATCGTACATACTCCATGTCAGTTTTCATCTGTTACAGAGGCCTGAGTATGGGCTAGTGGAGACCAGAGTTTTTAGAAATTCTTTGACAACTCTTTATAGACTCATGAGCTTAAACAACACATCTGCTTCACCAGCTTCTTATCCTGGCTCTAAGAGTAGCAGAATGTGCACAGTGACACTGGAAGGGATGTAATACACATGACTTCCGGGTCCATAGTTACATAGTTAGTCAGGTTGAAAAAAGACAGTGATCAGAGGAGTGATCAGCAGCTAAAAGCCTACTGATCTCCCTCCGATCTGTCAGGGGAGACCTGCCCTGCGCGGTCCAGGACCCGCACCGTGGACAGCAGAGACCAGGGAAGCCGTCGGCGGGCCCGGTGGTGGTGGAGGGGGGGAACACAGCGCTGCACCATAATAATGTGCCTGTAAAGATACCGGATCACTTGTACAGAAACAGTAATCACCTGCTGTTTAAAATTATACCAAGAACACAGCTGCAGCAGCAGTGAGGGATCTCTTTATTGGATCTACATTAAGGGCTTCAGGAGCTGTACTTGTTAGAGTAGTTGAGAAGGCATAGGTCTACCTAACAAATACATCAGCCAGTTCAATCCATCAAACATCCATCAAAACTGTAATATAGAACTAACATTGCAAACATTTAAAGTTAAGACAGTAAAAAATAGACAAGGTTAAGGTTTGGCTCTAAGTTTTATTAGTCTCTTTTCTTTCTCTTCCCATGAGATGCTCTTTGGAGTTCATCTCTGGTCGAAACAATATAATGAAACATTTGGGCAGAAACATACAGATCACTAGAGCCCAGCTTGATGACTGAATTGCAAAGATCTCCATGGCCACTGTGTACTTCCCTTTAGAACTAAGGGAGGCGGGAATGTAGGATATCCAAACACTTATGAAGGCTAACATGCTGAAAGTGATGAACTTCGCCTCATTGAAGCTGTCAGGGAGTCCCCTTGCCAAGAAGGCAACAACAAAACTGGCGGAGGCCAAGAGGCCAAGAAAACCCAACATACTCCAGAAGGCCGTGCCTGAGCCTTCATTGCACTCAACCATAATTATATCTGATTTGATTTCAGTTTTAAGCTGTAGAAAGGGAGGAGCTGTAAATAGCCATGCAATGCAAAGAAAGGCTTGAATAATGATGCACAAAAAGACTATGAAATAAGACACCTTCGGACTTGTCCATTTTCTAAGTTGGCTGCCTGGTCTTGTAGCCTTGAAAGCTATGACGACCATTATCGTCTTGGCCAAAATGCCAGAGACGCAAAGGGCGAACACCAGGCCAAAGGCAACCTGTCGCAAAATACATTTTTCAGGATGGGGGAGACCAATAAAACCCAAAGAACAGAGGAAACAAAGACACAGTGACACCAGAAGAAGGCAACTTAAAGAATAATTATTGGCTCGAACGATGGGTGTGGATTTATAATAGATAAATAGTCCAAAGATGGCCACTGGAACCAATGATGAAGAGACACTTGTAGAGGTTAAAATTTTACCCAATGGATCATCATAGGCTAAGAATTCTCTGGTCTTTGGAACACAAAGATCATGCGATGGATTTGGCCACATATCCCATGGGCATTTGGTGCAATCTACTGAATCTGAAATTCATTAGAAATAGTAGATTAAGATGAGTCTGTGTCACTTTATACAGAAGAAAATCATAATTTCTATACAGCTTATATCATCATTGGAGACTGTACAAAGAGCATATGCAGAAAGCAAGGTGAGCTCAGCAGAACTATGGCTATGTTCTCTGTCAGGTGATCCATGACAGCCAGCTTTAAACCATATAACAATATTGACATTTTACATTGACATGTACAGTATTATATACTGTATGTCATTTTTATTTCACTTTTATTTTTTTTATTATTTATTGACTACTACTTTATTACATTATTATCATTGCCACAAGTAGTCTTTTAGAAAACTAATTTACAAGTAAGCAGAACTATAAGCAAAATAAAAAATGACATCTATGATTCAGTCTGTCACAAGCATTAGCAGAGTCCTTTCTATATGTAATTAGGGCAACAATAAAAACAATGACATACTGTATATGTTGCAGTCCACCCTGTTACCTGTGGAACCTGCCAGTAGACCTATTTTTTAACCTTCCTTTTAACAAACCAAGCTGGCCAAACAAATGGTTGTAAGATCCGTTGGGGCAAACCATTAAAAGAAGAACGCTGGGCAAACAAAATCTTAACCTTTGCAGTGCGGCAGCCCCAACACTGCAAGGGATAGGCAGTTCATATTGTCTATGAAGCTAAAATAAGGTTACTAACCCAAACCACATTCCTGCTGCTAGACCGGTCCCTTCAGCCTTTTTCCCCCTCCTCCCCAGCGGTCTAAGGTCCAGTGAGTCATCAAGTTCTATAGAGTGTATAGAACACGTGGACACTGAGGGAGCAGAGGAGGAGACAGGCTGGAAGGACTGGTCTTAGAGCCAGCTAGGGACCGGGGTTCTGGTTGGAGTGCCAGTTGTTCTCTTTTTATTTTGATAATATGAAATATGAATCTTTCCACACTCGTGCTGCAGCTGGAGGACCATGTAGGTACTCTGGAGATGGAGAGAGGCAAACAGCAATTTTATCACCAAGCTTTGCTTCCAATCAGCCATCTGTCCATCCAAAGCTTGCCATCCGGTAGATTTTCGTATGAACATTCATCATCAAAACATTCTATAATGCCATCAGAGACTTGGAGAAAGTTGTTGGAAATTTCATTTGGTTTCAAAATTCAATTTTGGAAATGACTGAAGTTTCACCATCGAATACCACATTCACTGTTTGTATTTCATTCATTTGAGGAAAAAAAATGATTCTGCTTCTTCGATTTTGTTCATCAATAAAGTGAAAAACAATTGCTGATTTGACCTCATTAACTACAGTGGTACCTCGGTTCACGAACGCTTCTGTTCGCAAACAATTCGGTTCGCGAACAGGACGTTCGGCAAAATTTTGCTTCAGTTGGCAAACTCAGCATCGGGTGACGAACACAACCGCAGCCATCTTCCCCCCTCTAACACATGGTTGTGGCTTCCTCTAGTCGAGATCGCGGTCTGATCACAGTTTGATTTGGATCGCGACCAATTCGGTTCCACACCAGAATCGTGGAACAAATTAAGTTCGTGAACCGAGGTACCGCTGTATTAGAAAATTGAACACATTTTCTGGAAACAATTTTTTTTTTCAAATTCTACTGGTGTTCGGCCAGTTTAAGGACAACAGTGTTTTTGGAACCCAGCAGGTCATACTTTTAGTATGTGGCTTACCTGACTGGTTGGAAATTTCTCCAGAAGGACACGGGACACACTGAAAACAGCACATAGGCTGTCCTGTTATTGTGACCTTCCTGAAGCCCGATGGACAACTCTGACTGCAGACTGATGCTGGGGTCTGGGAGACAAGCAGAAAATATCATTTACCATTCACATGCCAGAACACTAGTTGTAGACATAAAAATCCAAATAAATAAGGGTAAAGGGTAAAGCCTGAGCACTGCTCTCATGCAGAAAGGAATATTCACTCTGCTGCTTGGATAGTGCAAAAATGAAGAGGATGGAACTAACGTGGAGAAAATGACCTGCTCATATGTCTGTGAAGGTTCTCATTCATCCAGGTCATGGTATATCTGTAAAAAATAAATCAAAGCAAGTGGACTTGCTGTATTTTTATTGAAGACATTTCGCTGGTCATCCAACTTGCCTTTCTGAATTGAGAAAGCTAGTTAAATGACCTGCGAAACGTCTTCTAGAAAAATATAGAAAGTCCAGTTGCTTTGATTTATTTTTTACAGAGATTACCTGCTCAGTTTAAATTATAACTTGGATCAAAGCGATTTGAGATATGCAGATATCTATTAATAATTGCAGCTCTCCTGTTATTTAATATCAGTTCATTTAACGTTCAACATTGAGCCAGTGGTACTAGAGTAGCACATAGGTGGGCATAAAATGAACTGACAATGGTTCTAACCATTTCCCACTCTCCCAAACAGAAAGTACAAATATTTGGCTATACATACCCTCTGGGGCTGGAAGTCAATTGGGAGTTTTGGCTCTCCTAACTTTAACACTAGATGAGATTTGCCGATGGAGAGCAGCACCCAGCAAAGGTGGATGAAGACAGAAGATCAAATATAATTTAATAGAAGCAGTTACTCCCATTTCAATGTGAGAGGGTATTACTCCTTTAAGTTTAAATAGGAACTCCAGACTCACCTATTGTCTGTCCCTCTATCACTCCCTGCTGCTGTGACTTACAGCATGTGGTGCATACAACTTCCATAGAGCCAGAGTCTCTAAAAGTTTTGCTCTAAAAGCCAAAGTTTTTTGTAATGCAGAGCTCACCCCTTCCCTATGCACACTGAATCCAGGGAGTAAGGAATTCATTTGCACCAATTGATAAATTGCTCATAATAGTGTCTGTGCTGACTTCAATCACCCAGTCATGTGCAAGCAAAAATATATTTTTTAAATTGTTCAATGCACATGATTGTGTATTTTTGCAAAGTTAATTTTTACCTACTTTATGAAGATAAGTGAAATTCACTTTGCAAAGTAAACATTTAGTTTGAAAAGTGATAATGTTAAAGCAAAAGGTTACTAACAAAAGGGGTCCTGTACTGAATGGAGGTCAGGGGTGAGCCATGCTATATTTGGGAAATGGGAAGGTAGAAAGTCTTTTCATGACACCAGTGACAGATGACATACCCTAACACTCACTAAAGTAGCTGTCACCAATACGGGGAGTACAGACCTGAAGAATATAAAACACAGAAAGTTACACACATTGCCTACCTTCTTATATTCAACACCCCACTGCACAAGACTGGTGTTGACGGAGAATACATTTCCATCTGTATTCCCTGTGTCATAACTTCCTACTATCACCTGTTGCAGTCTTCCCTCTGGGCTCAGCTGCCAGTTTATAATGTCATAGGCTGCAGGAGGGTCACCGTTCTCGTTAAAGAAGAACTCCCTGCCATTGGTCATCTTCAGACGTATCTTCTTCATATAGCCGAGGAGCTGTAGGCGGAACAAACATTGAAGTGAATCAGCACTAGCTGGTTTATACAAGAACACAAATATTTAATGCCGAAGGCAGCCGTGTGAATAACCAACCCTAATAACCAACCCGAAGTGAAGTGAGCCGAACGCTGTTCGGCTATTCACTTCAGGCTTGTACGGCTGATTTTAGCCATACACCGACAGAAATCAGCCGTACACCGGCTTGCTGCGTCTGGCTTCGGAACCCGAAGTGCAGAACGAGGTCGACTCAGCTGATCCAACATCTGGTTCGGCTTAGCCGAAACCTCCGGCAGGCTACTCGCTGCTGTTCGGCCTATTCTAACAGATGCCGAAGAGCAATGAGTGAATAGACGAAAGCCGCCTCGGCTATTCTGCTCGATACCTCTGAGGTACCGAGCAGAATAGAAAAACAATTTAAAAAAGTAGAACAAAAAAAGAAAATGATTGGGCGGAGCTAGCAGTGACAGCTAGCTCCGCCCAACTGTTTTCTATTGGCCGTGACCATCTGTCATTACAATGAGAGCTTGTCGGAACCGGCGGTGGTATCAAAGCCGGCTCTGCTGAGTTCACATGGTACTGACAGATCAGCGTCCCCTGGTTACCAAGTAACCAGGGGACGCTGAACTGTCAGTACCATGAGAGCTCAGCAGAGTCGGCTTTCATATCACCTCTGGCTCTGCTAAGCTCTCATTGTAATGCAGGGGGGAGAGAGCACCCCCCTGAAATGATGGCAGATAGCACAGGAAACAATAGCTTCTTTGCTATCTGCAAGTTTTTTTGTGTGTTTTTTTAATATTCTTTCAGGTGCTGCCGTCAGAATAATAAAAAAAAAATCAGCAGAGGAATGCATAGCTAGATTCCTTTTGGCTATTTCAATTTGCAATATCAAATAGCATGCTGTCTATTGCACCCGCCCTCTGCTGCTGTAAATCACTAGAAAAGGACCTGATGGAGAACTTCAGGTCCCCTCTGCTGATTGACAGCAGCAGAGGGCGGGTGCAATAGACAGCTTGCTATTGGATATTGCAGGTGCAATAGACAGCTTGCTATTGGATATTGCAAATTGAAATAGCCAATAGGAATGTAGCTATACATTCCCATGCTGTTTTTTTTTTTCTGACAGACGGCGGCCGGCGGCTCCGATGTCAGAAAAAAAAACTTATCAGGGAAATGTTTACTCTGCTCGATCGAGCAGAGTAAACCTCTCCAGGAGAAAGTGTTTCTCTCCCTGGTGGCCAGGAGCCGCTATCTAATAGTGGCCAGGAGAGTAAGGACAGATCAGTGTCCCTGGTTACCTGGTAACCAGGGACACTGATCTGTCTCTGCTAGTGGCCGGAGCCAGCCGTGAGATGACGGCTGGCTCCGCCCAGCTGTCAGTAGCAGGCTGTCGGCCGGTTAACGGCTGGCTATTCAGCCAGCTTCAGCTTTCACCTCGGCTAACTTCAGGAGCTGTACGGGCTATAGTGAATAGCCCGTACAGTAGCCCTTCGGTTCTACTGAACGGAAGGGGTCCTGTTGCCGAAGGATCAGCCGAAGCTACGGCTAGATCCTTTGTCAGCTTTGTGAATAGACCCCTTAGTCTTCCATGACTGAAATAGTTTTTGGTAACCTGCCATTGCCTACTTTAGTTTTATGTACTTCAGTCTCACTCTTCGGCTTGACCCAGGGGTGAAAGGTCATCTTCATTGTGACAGTTCCTACCTTGTGACCTGCCTAAAGTCTCCAGCTGGAGTCTGCGAGTCAGAGGTCATCTGTTGCTGACCTCTTATCAGCCTGACCTCACTCACTGGATTTTCAGGGTGCAGTGTGCTTGGTCAGACAGTTGACAGGGCAGTAACAGATGACCACCGACTTCAGTTAAGGAAGTTTACAAAGTAGGAACTGTCACACTTGACCATTTTGACCATTTTCCCCCGACTCAAGCTAAAGTGTCAAAGTATATAGAAGGGATAAATAAGGTACAAATAAATGTCATTCATAAGTACATCTACAAACTTAACAACAGTAAATATTCAATTTCGTAAATAAAACCTGTCTATACTATAAAAAGTGCAGAGCACAGAGTGCAGTAAAATGCAGGCACCACCCCGGCGCCGCCGGCAGGGCCAGTGGCAGATTCAATAGGGGAAACAATTAATATTATTACAGGGCTGGGGCGGGCGGCACCGCTCCCTCATTCTATATATATCTATATATATACACACACACACACACATATGAGAATATATTTATATATGAGGAAACAAACAATATGAGAATATATCTATATATTTTTTTTTAAAAATCATATTGGTGTTCCGCGGGATTTAAAATTATGAATTTAGTGGTCCATGAGGTCCGAAAGGTTGGCGACTGCTGCTTTAGGTAATCTGGTAGGAAAGTTAGGATGGACCCCATTTTAAAAATGGGGGTAAAGACCCTTTTGGTCTTGTAGGAATTTTAGGAGGAACCCCAAGATACAATTAAAAAAAAAGTGTTTGGGGTTCCCCCTCAAAGTCATACCAGGTCTCTAAGGTCTGGTAGGAATTTTAAGGAGGAAGGGGGAAATTATAGGGGGAAAAAAGACGTGGGGTCCCCCTATAATTCCTAACCAGACCCTTGATTCGAGCACAGGCCTGGCAGGGCAGGAAAAGGGGGGGGGATGAGCGAGTGCCCCCCCCTTCCCTGCGATACCAGGCCACATGCCCTCGGCACTGGGAGGGTGGGGGGGACAAGGGCCTCTTCCCCACAAGCCCTGGGGCGTTGGTTGTGGGGGTGTGGGCAGGGGGCTTATTCAGATCAGGGTACCCCTTTAATAAATGGGCACCCAGATGCGCTCCCCCCTTGTGAAAGAGTAAGGGGTACTTGTGCCCCTACCCATTCACTAAAGGGTTAAATCAAATTGTAAAAAAGAGGCCAGACTTTTGAAAAAAATTTGAATAATTTATTTGAAAAAAACAAAACAAAAGACAAGTTTTTGACAAGGCTTTTATTTAAAAAAAAAAAAAAAATGGATCTACCGACTTAATGCAGTGCCAATCACGACGTCCAGCTTTGTCCACAACGACGACAACTCGACGAAATAAAAATAAAACAAGAAAAAATAAATAGAAATAATAAGAAAAAAATGACGACCGCCAAACCATCCGCTCACAACAAACTCCCGACGCAGAATGGCGTTCTGACAGATGGCGGCAAAATATAAACATTTGGGCAGAGCTAGCAGTGACAGCTAGCTAGAGCCTCCCAACTGTTTACATTTGTACGGCACCTGACCGGTGAGCCATGATTGGGCAAAGTCATCATTAGTTTGCTCAATCATGGCTCTTCAGTGCACTGTGCCGTGATTGGGGTCAGATGCATTCCTTTACCCAAACAGGGCTCAAACGGCACTGTGCGGTGCACAGTGCCTTGTGGGCCGCTTGGCGAGTGAATAGCCTGCCGAACACCCTTATAGTTTGTGTGTTCTTAATTACTGCTGTAAGAAGCCACTTTCAATACTCTCTCATACTGTTGAACACTGGCCTGGCTCTCATGCCACAGTGCAATGCCAGTGCCTCAGGGCACTAGTTTTAAACTGTGTGATGTGTGTAAAAGCCGTTATTTGCACACTGAATGTTGGTGGACGGACCTCAGGTTGTACTAGAACAACATAAAACAACCAAAGCCATCCACAACTCTGTGTAAGCTACATCACCAACCTTATCTACACCATATCATTAATATAAGTGTCACTAGCCTATGAGTCTATTCACTCGGTGGCTGAAGGTTACCTAGAATAGGAGGTGCTTCCAAAATCAGAATCAGCAGGAAGGCAACCCTTTTTATATAGAATGCCCCTTTATCAGTTTACCACCACAGTTTACCCACTGAAGCAAATCCTGGTCCAGGTGAATCAATGCGCTCAGTTCTATTCAGTTTTTTACTGGCTTCAGATTGACTTTACCTGCCATGGCTGAAAGCTTCGTATGTCTGCACATGTTCCATTGAGAAATGGTCCATATCCTTTCTTACAGTTGATCATGTCTTGAAGAGCTTTTAATACAATGTGAACTGCGGTATATATGTTGTATGTCACCCTCAGGCTGGAGATATCATTATAGTGGTTCTGGATGTTACCTGGACGTTCCTCCCCTGTGCACTCTTTTACTGAAGACGCCAGTGTTGTTGTTTGATTCTCCTTGTCCAAGAACTTGCAGGCGAAAACTTCCTCCCAGAATATTTTGACCCATTCTTTTCCTACAGACATTGATGGATGGATCCTGTTGAGGAAATCCCCAAAGCCTGGCATTTTTCCACTGTGCAGGGCAAAGCCAATAGTTCCGTAAAGCAGGTTGGAATATTTTTGGACAGACAAGAAGGCAGAAGTGGCCCAAGCCTCACTAGCAATCCATATTTTTCCTGTTACGTTTTGCCTTAGCATCTCGTCGAGAACATAGACCAGATCTATGTCAGTGGAGAAGATGACCACTGCAGTGGCTGTTGACTTTTTGATCACCTGTACAATATGGGGGGCATTTCGATCAGGCTGGCTGATGGCAATATTCTCCATAAAGGCCACGCAAGCTCCAGCTTTTAAAATATCCCTTTTGATCATTTGGATACCAAGTTGACCGTAATCATTGTCAACGGCAACCAGACCAATCCAGGTCCACCCAAAATGTAACACGAGCTGGGCCAAGCCTTGGGACTGGAAGGCATCACTGGGTACAGTCCTGAAGAATGAACGGAACTGTATTCGATTGCTGAGAAGAGAGCTTGTGGAGAAATGGCTGATCTGTAGTAAAATATGTTAACGATAGCAATAATGATAATTGCTTACTCTAGACATATATAAAAGACACACATTAATGCAACTCTGTGCACAGGGCTGCATTCACTCTCTCTGCTGCCCCATGGCCAGGTTCCTCCAGGGTTTGCCCCCCTACCCGCCAACCCCACAATGGAGATTGGCAGACCTGCAGGCTGCATACAAGTGATCTCGGCGACATCACCCAGATCACTTGTATAAAACAAGAGGCGGCTTCCCCACTGTACATTTAGCTCTGCTTGCCCAAAGCCGGGCTAAATGTAGAAAACAACTACCCGCCCGGCACCCGGAACTGCATGTCGGGGCGCCGGGAGATAGGAATTCCACACCCCTGCTGCCCCTCTACTTCCTGCTGCTCTAAGGCCGGGCCTTGGTTGGCCTTGTGGGAAATCTGGCCCTGTCAGTTCATTAATATATTGGTATCAGCCTTTTGCAATCCCTGTACAGTGGAGTGATGAGAGGGAGAAGCAGCACAAAGAGCCAATCATTTCATGTACTAACAAGGAGCATATCGATAGGGCAACAGAGCAGAGTGGTGAAGACATAAGCTTATTAATATGCTGCATCTCTTTTACTATCTAGTAACAGGCTGGTGGGGGCATGTCCTTGGCAAACTTATACAATTAAACTTTAGCTGCCTCTAAGACAGGCAGGTTATAATGGAAGTCAGGGGAGGGATGGTAATGTGGCAGGATGTGAAAATGGATTCAGATACGATTTTGGGTAGGAAAGACACACAGCCACAAGGTACTTTAGATGGAGATCATCTTAGACCGTGAGGGTAAGAGGACACAGCTGTCTGTGTTCACATCAATGATAGAAAAAAAATGACAATCTCCATTATAAGGTATTTGCTTCAGCAAAGAATTCGAATGTTTACTGTCCTTCAGAAATGGTGGTTGGCACCTAGCAAATATCACAATATCCTCCCAATCTTAATGTCAGCACGAGTTTTATTTTCAAGGTAATTTTAATGGTTAGCGCTCACATGTGGGATAATAACTGATCTATTATCTAGTCCGCTATGGACATTATAATGGTATATAATGGTATATTATTGGCCTTTACAATTTACAAATTACTCATAAAATAGTTTTTTAAGGGTTAAATGAACAAATCTCTGCACATCTATGTATGTCTCAAATATATTCAATTTCTTACTTGAAGCATACTTCTCTTCTGTAGTGCATCTTGGGAAACAAAAATAACACTTACTTGTGGGTACCGATAGAGCCCCAGAATATGAGCCAACAGCATGGTGTAGGTGGAGATAGAATGGCCAATGACAGCAGCCAAGTGGACATCTTGGTTACAGCGATAGTTAGCTAGAGGTCGGCCCTGTCCACTCAGCAGCTGCAGTGTTCCTGATATCGCCCTCTGCAGGACACTGCAAGAGTCAAAAATCTGAAATCCTACAGTGATGTTTGGCAATAATTGAGGGTCTTTGTTTATCTCCTCCACTGCAAAATGTACAGCTTGGACACGTTGATAATTTTCCAGCCTGAAACTGAATTTAAGAAAGAGGATAACAGGTCATAAAATGAATTCACTGTCGTCAAATATTGTTGTTCCTATGATAATATTAAAGGCTGATATGCACATGTACAGTATACGTAATGTATTCATGATGATAGAATTGATTATAGAATATATACATATATCAATCATCATACTGTATTTGCAATTCTAGAATCATGAATACATTATTAAATGTATTCTTTAAATGCAAGCAGAGTAAGTGCCTGTACAGCAGGACTGGAGTTTGAGAGGAAGACCTGGATGAGCAGGTGAAAATAAAGCCTAGTCATGAAGCAACCACGTTGCTTCTTGAGTATGCGGTTCAGTTTTGGTCACCAATCCACGGAATGGATGTCCTAGAGCTGGAGAGAGTCGAAAGAAGGGCAACAAAACTAATTAAGGGGGCTAGAGGAACAAAGCTATGAGACAAGGTTGCTAAATTTAGACTTGTTCACGCTGGAAGTGAGGAGATTAAGAGGGGACATGATTTTAATGTACAAAATGTTTGGTGGTGATGGCAACATCAGCAATAAACTTTTTACTCTAAACTCGCTAACAAGGACTAGAGGCCACCACCTAAAATTGGTGGAGAAAAGACCTAACCACAAAGGGCGCAGGAGCTTTTTCTCAGTCAGAGTGGTTACGTTTTGGAACTCTCTGCCACAAGCAGTGGTATCAGCAGAGAATATTGAATCATTCAAAAATTATTTAGATACCTTCCTCAGAGACTGTAACATACAGGGGTACAGGGACTCATATACACACTTGCACGCACTACACAAACACTTACACAAAAGGGTTGAATTCAATGGGCCTGTGTCTTTATTCAACCTCAAATACTAGGTAACTTATGCGGCCAGCAGGAGCGGTAATTTGCAATATATTCATTTTTTTTCTTGTAGATGGTTTAGATGGTTTAGAGAACTATGAGGGATAGGTGACAGAAAAGTGAAATGGGGAGACCATATATGGACAAAACACAGCATGCCTTTGATCTCCACAAATCTCTAAATGTAATGAAATTCAAAACATAAATACATTCAAATCCATTAATAAAATAGTCTCACGTTTTGCACATTGCTGGAGCTGGCGGTTTCATGTAATTTGTCTTAGGATATATTTTGTCCACGTGAACAGGTACCACCACCCCGATTATGATGTCCCCGTTCAGTGACATGCCTGTGAGCTCCGTAGTGACGAGCCTGCAGCTGTGATGAGAACACTCAGATAAGTGTACAAGACTCAGGAGGAAAAGGAGGCCAAACATTGTCCTTTATACGGTATCCAGGATCCTCCAGTGCCTGACATCAGGTCATGAATGGGTGATGGGTTCTCCAGATCCTAAATAGCGAAACACAAATGCTGAAAGGAAAGGAGATATATTTCACAAAATGCATTTAATATTTCTTCCAAGACTTCCAAGCTCCAAGACTAGACTAGGGAAAAATTCAGAAGTTAGGATGCCGCTTTGTTTTTATAAATATATATAAGTGATGCACCGATACCGTTTTTGCAAGTACAAGTACTGCTACTCGCCCAAGTCCTCACAGATACAAGTACTGATACGTTTTTGTTTATTGTCATGTGACAGTTTTTCTAAAACAATACAGACTAATGATTTCAGGACAGTGGTGGAGCGCCAGAGCCAGGTCCCAGCTGCAACCGCTGCAACCCCGGTAGTTCTCATGAAAATGCCAAGTATACGCACTGTTATCTGAACTGGTATCGGTGCATCCCGAATAGAGAGACAATCTAAAGGCAAACAGTTCCTGCAATGCTTTCTAGAAAACCCAAAATGCCCTGGGTAATCCTGTGTCATAGATCTACCTTGTATTAGATATTTATTCATTGCAGGTATTTATATAGAGCAGACAAATTATGCAGACCTTAACATTCACATCAGTCCCTGCACACAAGATGCTTATAATCTAAGGTCCCTATCTCACATACATACATACAGGGCCAATTTTAGACAGGAGCCAATAAACCTACCCACATGTCTTTGGAGTGTGGGAGGAATTTATATTGAGGGAAACATATAGAATGCTTTTGTTGACCTCCTTTTGAAAACAAGGCCTAGCTGCCTATGACTTGAATACCTTGAGCCACTATACCGGACCAAGTATGATGTAGGATGGATCTGCATACATGTTCTTGGCCTTTATCTCAGAAAGCACTAGACCAATGATTTGGCATGACAGCAGAACGTCTAGCATTTTTCAGAAGGAGTTGTCAGCTGTGTCACCCTATCCATTTCTTTGAGAATAGGTTTCTTTGGAGAATGAACACATATGAATAAAGACTTTTTATTGGAAAGGGGCGCAGAAGATCCATTAAAAATGATGCCTATGGCTGAGCAATATGATGGGAGAAACTGTATATAATATATACAGAGCCGTTCCAAAAAAGACATTGAAACAATGATTTTGCTCAATGCATGGAAACATTCACTCACCTTTTCACCCTACTGCTGTGTTCTGTCTCCATATAGAACAGCTTTTATATGGAGTAGTCCATTAAGGTATGGGAATTCAAATCCCTAAGACTGCAAGAGGAAAGGGAAACACCACCAGAGAACTGTTTTCCTCAGCAGAACATGCATCAGGCACAATTTCATTTAATGACATAATGAGGGCATTTAGTGTAGGAGCCCAGGGAAACACTCAAGTAGTAACGCAGAAGAGCGTATTCCCCTCTAAGAACACAATGTTCATATAAAGTACAATGATAATATTGTAATATGGGATAATGTACATACATTGTAAATTATAAAGATATAGGAATTCACAAGGAAATACAGTGACGATATGGATGCAACTACATTTATAAAGGTTTCAGAACTCCAAGGTGAAGCCTAAAATTGTATCTGAACCCAAGAACGAAAAATTGAATATGTTGCAGTTTACCAATCCTTAGGTGTGTGAGCTGCTTTAATTCTCACTTCTTTTTTTTTTTTTAGCTTTTTTCCCTTTATTTTCACTTGGATACCAATGTAGTAATTTACTTCCTGTTTATAGGGACAATGTTTACTCATTGTACTGTGTCTGTGGATAGGGTTGCCACCTTTTCTGTAAGCGTAACCCGAACACTCTAGCAACGCGCAGATATTTTTTGTGGGAGAATGAGTTGTGGCTTATTCATATGTAAATAGCGCCGCCCATTCATATGTAAATATCATAGTTGAGACTATTTCCAGTGGGGGGGCCAGTAGCCCCTATCTTAATTTTGGTTGTCCCTGTCTGCCTGACATCTTGTGACCGGGTTTCTGCTGCCATGAAACCCAGACACGGCATTCAAAACCCGGACTGTCCGGGTGAATCCTGGACAGGTGGCAACCCTATCTGTGGAGGAGCAATGTTGTCAGCCTAGGACAGAAAGTTTTATAGGGCTGCGGTATATAAACAAAAATTCCCACCTCACTTACCAGTCAGCCTGGGAAAAAAAACTTACACTGCCTAACTATTAGGGTTAAAAACAGAGGTTTTAGTTGTACAACGCTTGCAAAATAAGTAGCAGTAATGCGTCCCCGTCAAGACCCCTCTGTGTAGTGTGGTCCTATTTAATATGTGAGAGCCTCTATCATATATAGTATATTTAGCAAAGGATATATTGGGTGCTGGTACACCTGGACATAGCTCATTGCACCTTAAAGGCATAGGGACACACCAGAAGCCCAGCACATCACAGTGGCCACTGAACCCCCAGAGGGTCCCCACACAAAATCCAACAAGCGAAGCAAATTTTAAACACTCATCAATTTATACCTATGGCACTACCTTCCGCTATCCAGGGCACTGGATGTGCAGCCAGTGGCCTTACCTCCACCACCGCTTCTTTTGCAAAGGTAACTGCCCGAAGCCTGCAATGTACTTCTTTGCCTGTTAACTGTCCGAACTCTTAGTTCCTTCACACTCCCTCTCCCTATCTCTCACTTCTCATACTGTGGGCTCACTTTTGTGACACAGATGGAAAAATAATAAAATCTTAAAATACCTTTATGCTGGTGGCTTTGTACCTGTGATCCAGTCACCAAACTTCATGCCTAGGCACTTGTGGCCATCTGTTGCCCTAGCATTCTGTCTCCTGGGGTGCTAGGACTGAGGTAGCAAGAGAGGCATCCATCATCGTCTTGGGTAGACATGTGCGTCGGATTCGTTTGCATTCGTTATGTCTGTAATTCGGAATTCGGATACATCCGAATGTCCGAATTTACGAAAATTCGTCCGAATTTCGATTCGGAACGAAACGAATCGCACATGTCTAATCTTGGGCTTCTCATAGAGGTAGGTGACCCCACTGCAGTACCAAATGACTCTCCGTCATCCACATGCTGCTTGATCATAATTTTGTAAAATAAATGAGTTAATTGGGAAATCATTTTCTTACCTTCTCACCATTCAAGGTATATAAAAAAAAAATAGTCAATAGTCAAAACAATAAAAGAATAATAACGATTATGCATTTTTAAAAATGAAATTGCCTTTTACAATTGTTCAATTGTTCATTGTTTATTTACTTGTTAAACGTACTTTATACTTTGTGGCGCAGCTTTAATACAAATGCTTATAAACATGAAATAAAACAATGTCCATCAAATTGGATCTATTTCTTCGCCAGGAGATGCTTTCTTGAGTTCACACAGGGACGGAACAAGATGATGTAACATTTAGGAACAAACATACAGCCAAGCATGACCCAGGTAGAAGACAGGATAGCAAAAATCTCCATGGCCACTGTGTACTTTCCACTGGTGGAGAGGTGAGCTGGGATAAAGGAAAGCCAGACACTGAGGAAGGCCAACATGCTGAAGGTGATGAATTTGGCCTCGTTGAATCTGTCAGGAAGTTGTCTGGCTATGAATGCGACAAAAAAACTGATCAGAGCCAAGAGACTGAGATAACCCAAAGTAAGCCAAAAGGCTGTTGGTGAACCCTCATTGCATTCAAGAACCAGAACCCCCGTTTTGGTTTTAGAGTTGTATTCAGGAAAAGGAGGGGAGATGTGTAACCAAAGAATACAGATCATAAATTGAACACATGTGCTTAGACTGATGACTAGGTATGATACATAGGGACTGGCCCACCTTCTCAAATCACTGTTTGGCTTAGTAGCCCTAAAGGCTGTCATCACCATGATCGTTTTAGCTAATATGCATGAGATACATAAGGTAAACGCTATCCCAAAAATAACTTGACGTAACAGGCACTTTTCACGTTGAGGATAACCAATAAATGCCAAAGAGCACAAAAAGCAAAGGAAAAGGCAGACTAGAAGAAGACAACTTATGGGGTAATTGTTGGCACGGACAATTGGGGTAACCTTATAGTAAAGCAGAAGACTCAAAATGGCAAATGGAACAAAGGAAGAAGAAATGCTTGTTGATGCCAAGGTGACACCTAAAGTCTCCTCGTACGAAAGATATTCAACAGGTTTAGGTAGGCATGTGTCCTTTCCTTCGCTTGGCCATTTGTTCCATGGGCAGCTAAAGCAAACTGTAGAGTCTGAAAAAGGAAAATACACCTTGTTAGATGCCAACCTGTTCTAAGGATTTCAAGGGGTCTCCTTATATATTATTACCTTACCGGTTTCATTTGAGATTTCTCCTTGAGAGCAAGGTACACATTCATAGCAGCAGTTTGGTTCACCTGTGATAGAGGCTTTTCTGTGACCCGGAAGACAACTTACATGGCAGATTGAGCATGGAACCTAGGAGAGGCCAACATGAAACAATGTACATTTTTACAGGGTGCTTTGTAAAAAATAATAATATGAAAACGCTAACTAAAAAAAGTTTATGATGTTTTGAAGCTGGTCAAGGGAAATCGGTGGCATGTGGTATTGGACTAGGGACTTAAAAAAAATCATGTTTACAATGCCACTGTAACTTTCCTTCTCCCTTCCTCTCTTTTCTTCTTCAGTGTTTTTCTTTCTTGCCCTCCCCCCTCCTCTCCCCTCACCCTCTCCACTGTCCTCACCCTCTCCCCTCTTTCTCTTCTTCTTTCCACTCTTCTGCTTTTCTTTTTTTGCCATCTCCATTACCTCTCCTCTCTGCTCCCTCTTACTCTCCTCTACATTTCTTTCTAGCCCTCCGCTTTTCCTTCTTGCACTCTTCTTTCCTTCTTGCACACTCCTTTCCCTTTCCTCTCTTTTCCTTCTCACTCTCCTCTGTTTTTCTTTATTGCCCTCTCCTTTTCCTCTCCTCCCTGCTCCTTCTCACTCTCCTCTGCTTTTCAATCTTGCCCTCTTCTTTCCCTCTCCTCCCTGCTCCCTATCACACTCCTCTGCTTTTCTTTCTTGCCCTCTCCTTTCCCTCTATTCCCTGCTCCCTCTCACACTCCTCTGCTTTTGTTTCTCTCCTTCCCTAGCAATGGGTATTACTATAAGCTCTACCGAATGCCTAATGCCTGATTCCTCACTAGTGAGTCTACCTTATCTCACAACATATTTCTTGTGAACAATTTTATTATATGTACGTTCTCTTATTGGGAAGTACTGCAATGAGATAAGAAAATGTCTAAAGATTCTAAAATATACCCAATGTCTTAATGTCTAATGATCCAC